TCACTTGAAACACTAATGTAAGCAATGAATCGTTCAACATCTTCATTGTCGGTTAACAAATAAACTTTACCATTTCTCTGATAAGATAGCCTAAATCCACTTAGGGGCTCTAAATTCAATTTATTTGGAACACGTAACATTAGAGTTTCATAAGTTAACTTTTTTTAATGACAGTTTTAGTTGAAGATTCATGGGTAAAGGCATATATTGTAAAACACCATGAACATTCTCTCATGACCCTCCAAAACACAAATCTATCCAAACATGATCAACATTAGATGATTTCATTATTGTAAATTAATTTACTAAACAAACGAGCTGCGAAACTAAAACTTGTTGCCGGATGGGGAAGGATGTCGTTGGATATAGGAACGGATGTCGCCGGAGAGAGTGATAGATGGAGATGGAATGAGTTGCGATTTAGGGATTTAGGTTATGAGTTGCTGCTGCTGCGTAGTTATATACCCAAAACATTTGTGTTGCGAAATTAAAACCTGTTGCGAATTCAGAAATCGAGTTGCGAATTTGAAATTCAGTATTGCGATTACGTATTCGCAACGCGATTACGTATTCGCAACGCGATTACGTATTCGCGTTGCGATTTACCAAATTCGTGTTGCGATTTACATATTCGCAATGCGAATTAGGGAAATCGCAATGCGATAGTCAGAATCGCGTTGCGAATCTAGAAACTGATTTGCGATACCGGAGATCGCGTTGCGAATTATCGATCGCATTGCGATTTAGTTGGTCATTTTGGCAAATCCAAAAAAAGTTGGTTAAAATCGTATATTATAAGGCATTTTTGGTCACTGAGGTTATTTTCTCTATATTATATAGTTTTGAAAATGATTTTTGAATATATATAAATATATATATATATTATATAGTTTGCAAATGATTTTTGAATATATATATATATATATATATATATAATATAGTTTTTGAAAATATTTTGAAAATATATATAATATATAGTTTTTGAAAACATTTTAAATATATATATATAATATATAGTTTTCGAAAACATTTTAAAAACTTATATAATATAGTTTTGAAATCATTTTGAAAACTTATATAATATATAGTTTTAAACATTTTTGAAAACATATATAATATATAGTTTAAAACATTTTTGAAAACTATATAATATATTTTGAAAACATTTTAAAAAATATATAATATATAGTTTTAAAATATTTTTGAAAATATATATATTATATAGTTTTTGTAAATATTTTATATTTATAATATATTATTATTATTATTATTATTATTATTATTATTATTATTTTATTAACACTTTTCTTTTCTTATTTTTTGGTCCAATAAGGGTCCAAGACATGCCTGTCTGACCCAACAGGCCAAGGAAGGGTAAAGCCCAACAACCCGAGCCCAACTGCCTGACCCAGTAGTGGCTAGGGTTGCATCATTAGCAGAGGCACTGCATGTGAGGGGCTCGAGGGGCGCGTGAGGACCACGCGCCAGTCAAAGCACGCGAGATGGCCTGCCGAGATCCCCTGGACTGAACCATCCCGGAGTGTTCGGTCAACCAACAACCCACAAATCCGAGATCATCGGGACCCAAACGACCCCTTCGAAGGCTATAAAAGGGAGCCTCGTCGGAAGACAAGAACCACAGAACCAACATCAAACGATTGGAGAGCAACCCATATACGAAACAACGATCCAACAACAACATCGAACCAAAAACAACCACAATAGCCAACACCAAAACACCAAAAAAATAACAAATAAAATAAAGCAAGTAAAGATATCAAAAACGAATGAGCACAGAGGAGCTTTGTCGGCACAGAGGAGCTTTGTCGGGGCAGAGATCTTCGGTCGCCGAGAAAAACGAAAAAGGGTAAAACAATCTAAACTTTTTCTAAATCTACGTCGCCATGGATATTTTTTGGGTGTTTGGGCTTTGGTTTTGGGTTTGGGTCGCTGAGAGAAAGGAGTGGTCGACAGTGGTTATCGGCGTTGGAGCGCGGCTACTAATAGTGGTCAGCTATTCCTCCGACGAGGAAATTCTATAGAGAAGCCAGCCAAAGCTTCTATCTCTTAGAGAGAGAGTGAAAACGAACAAATGAGATATTTTAGGCCTTTAAGGCCGAATTTTGGGTATTTATACCCTCCCTGAAACTACGTCATTTTGGGGAGGGATCTCTACGTAATTTTGAGAATGGGTAAATTACACCCTCAGTCCCTATAATTTTATACCTTTTCATTTTAGTCATCGAAGTTAAGTTTCAGTATTTTTAATTTGGATTTCCAATTTTATTATATTTATATTTTAGTCACTATTTGGTATTTAGGATTAATTATTGTTTAGTCCTCCTAACCTCTTTTTTTTATTTTATAGCTAATTTTTTAGCATCCATTTGATCCATAAATTTTGATTTATTTCAATATGATCCTTTAAATTTTTTTTATTTACTCGTAATTTTAATAATTTTATTTTCATTTTCTTTATTATTATTATTATTATTCTGATTTATTTAATATTTTTGTTATTTTATTTTATTTTTTATCTTTTTCCTTTCATTTATTTAACATTAATTTCTTCTTATCTAACATTTTTTTTTACTTTTTAGGGATTCTTTCAATCGATCAGAGGTAATTAATTCGAATTGAATTTATAAATTTTAATTTTAATTTTTGTCATTAAAACAACCAACAAATTAATTGGCACCGAAAGGGCAGTTCAAGGGTGCTAATCATTCATTGACTGTAACTTACTCCCGAATCCGACATATTTATGGTAAAACGCAGATCATGTAAGATGGTGCCTGATAAACCTAAAATTTATTTTTAAAATGATCGATGACGGCTCTAATGTATTTTATTTCAAGTCGAAACCTAATTCCGGACCCACCCAAAAGACGACTGCGACACATATGCGTTACACTTTTGATCAGGGAGAATAGACGGGTGAATGAGATTTTGAGAATAAGAAGACGAGCTAAGAAGATTTATTAAATGAGGAGGTGAGTGCTGCAATCGATGAAGGATAGATCATTCAATCGATAATTTATTGTTGGATAATGATAAAGGGAGATTGATGAAGAGTCTTTTTGAGAACTTGAAAAAAAAGTTCTCTTTTCAGTCTCAGTTAGGGTATAAATACTCCGATTGTAGTGTAACTGTTGCCAGATCTAAGATTATAATGCAGTAATGCTAGACAATACGAAACCTTTCTAATGATATTCAAGAAAAAATATTCTAGAACAATTCATAGAAATAAAAGAATTCTTCCTCTACGACAAAATGATAAAAGAATACTTGAAAATACATATACAAAAATTGCGTATAGGAATCCACAAAGAAACTCCTATTAGTAAGTTATTAGTTTGTACAGATATAACTGTCAATTATCATATTTGATTGTCAAACTCGCATCGGTTGTCGATGAACAAGGATTCTGAGTGGCCATCTCACTAGGATAACTTCGAAAATGATGATATTTTCAAAAGATTTTCAAAGGTTTCGTTTAGTGGATACTCTAGTTGATTATATCGACCAAAGGTTAATATTTTTCCACGAGTTTACTATATATATATAAAAGTTAAAAATACATTTATTTTTACTTTAAATGTAAAAAAGAAAAATCAATTTTGGTCCCAATAAAAGCCGAAAATCTCGTGACAATTTCAGCAAACCCAACTACCAAGCCCTTTAGCTATTAACCTCTGCTTCGCTTCTTTCATATCACAAAAAAGGATAACAAATCAACGGTCAGGATTGTATTCTTACATGTGCTGTCTCTCTCTCTGTATTTGATTTTAAACAACTGTATGACTCCACCTCCTACACTGCATTTATTCTTGCCTCCATCATCTTCATTTACACCGTCACCGCACTCTATCTTTTCCTCTAACGCGTCTCCTACCTCTTCAATCGTCTCCCACTACTTTCTTCTATTTAATTTAATTTAATTTAATTTATATTTAGAAAATAGCTTGGCCAGTGTTTTTTATCATATGATAGAATTATAAGGGTAAAGTACACAAAATGGTCATTTGACTGTATGATATTACTTTGTTAAGTTTCTTAATTATTAAAAATTATAAAATAATTCTCCGAATATAGGGTATTACTTTGTTGAGTTACTCAACTATTAAAATTTATAAAATGATCATTCGCCTATTCATATGTTTTAAATTTATCATTTTTTGTTAAAAATTAATGATCATTTGAGCTGAAAGTTAACCTGTTGATTATAATATGATAACATTTGATTAGTGGCAGATGTATGTTTATTTCAGAGTGGGCATATGTCCACCATGAAATCCGAATTTCTTTAAGTTTGTTGTTATTTTACTAATGGTGTCCACCCTAAAATTTTATTTGTGTCTACCCCATAGAAAAAATTTCCACGTGTCCACCCTGAAAAATATTTTTAGATTTATCGCTACATCTGATCTTGAAATCTAAAACGACTATACAATTTGAATGATTCTTAGATCAAATTTTATCATATTTTAGTTAGCATGTTAATGTCCAACTAAGACAATTATCAATTTTTTTAATAGAAAATAAAAAATTTAGAATATATGATTAGTAAAATAACCAGTTCCTCTAATAACTAGTTGATCTAGTGGGATGAGACACTAGATTCCTTAAGTAAGATCAAAAGTTTGAAACCTGATATTTGCGAATGGAGCAAACTGGATTAGGAGGGTTGGATTAGTCGATCAATAAATCGGATACTAATGATTAATTCAAAAAAAAGTGACCAGCTCCTTAGGTGACTATTTTTTAGCTTTTAATAATTGAGAGACTTAACAAAACATCACATTATAGTTAATGAATTATTTTATAACTTTTAATAGTTGATGAACATACAAAAACAATATAATATAATAGAGGATCATTTATGTAATTTACCCTTGAAAATAATGACATATATTCAGATTTCTTGAAATCCGTTAGCATTCTCAAAATTAATAAATATAAAAATATCAGCAGACCCATTTTGAATTTCACTGAACGAATTTTGTAAAGAAAGGTTGAAATCGAAGTGGTTCGAAAATGCCAACGATTAGAGTTCCGGCCAACAAGAAGACCACGACTTTAACGGTTAGTTTTCTCTGAAATTTATTCTCCATTTCTTTCATGATCTTTCTAATATTTCTTAACAGGTTGCGGTAAAATGTAGACCGTTAAATCAGAGGGAGACGGAGAGCGGCCGCGACATTGTTAGACTGAAAGACAACAAGGTACGTCAACCTTTTCTTCGCTTTTCAAATTTTTTATTTGAAAATCTGAGAATCACAAAAATTTTGTGACCTTGAAGGAAGTGGTAGTGTTAGATCCCGACTTATCAAAGGACTATTTGGATCGCATTCAAAATCGTACCAAAGAGAAAAAGTATTCTTTCGATCACGCCTTTGGTCCTCACTCTACAAATTTGGTACTATTTCTCTCGCTTTTTAGAACTTTAAATTTCTTTTTCCAATGCTGATGCTTAGAAGCTTTGCAGTTTTTGTTAATGGAATTGGAAACAATAAGTTGAAATCTGAAATGACGAGGTTAGCTTTATGTTTAGTATAAATTGTGTGATAGAGATCATAAAATCATGATTTCTCATGACTGCGACTCCTACGCGTGAACTTATTTAGTCTTTACTAAATATATTTGTCATTTTCATAATTTTGGTGACTACCAGACCCAAGGTCCTCCCGAGTTTTTGTCTCCAAATGAAGCACTAGTTTAACCAAGCAGAAGTTCCTAGAAAAGGGAAAAAGGAAAAGGAAAATGAGAAGATGATTATGATATGTTGACCATGTAATTATTGTTTTGGTATGAACCACGGATGGTCATGTAATTTTGATGGCTATAAATTTATATAGTAATTTCTTCTTGTTGCGACTGCAGTGCACCATTGTGTGCTCATCTTTTTTTTTTTCTTAGAAGGTAACTGTAAGGATAGCCAGGGCTTTCATGATTCTTCTATTTTATGTTTATTTTCCACCACATTGGACTCCTCAGAAGTCTAGCATAAAGAATAGTGATGATAATATGAGTAACCTGGAGCTTGGTTAGTTTATATTGGCATTAGTGTGTTATTCAGTGAACCATACTGAACAAAATACAGTTTGGATGCTCCACTTATTTTATATATTTAACAGAAGGCGCTTTAAGTACTCACATTTCGATTTTGTTTATATAACAATCCTGTTGTCTAACTTGTTCAGGACACCTATCGGAAATGTATATCTACTGTAATCTCAGGAGTTGTACAAGGTCTTAATGCAACCGTATTTGCCTATGGTTCAACCGGAAGGTAACAAAAAGATGTACTGGCATATCTATATTCTCATAATCGAATGTTCATACAGAGTATATAAGACAAGATGTTTGTTTTGAATGATATGGCCAAGGGTGTTGTCATTTCTTTGGGTTTTCATTCTGTCCAAAAACCTAAATCTTTTTCTAAAAGAATTCAGTGTGTTTGCACAGTTATCTAAGGCTTATCTCTTGAGATATTTGCATCTCTGTGTCAGTTTTTCAATTATAAAAGTTCGACTATTTTATGCATCTGCAGTGGTAAAACTTATACTATGGTAGGGACACAACATGACCCTGGACTCATGGTTCTCAGTTTACACACAATCTTTGATCTTATTAAAAGGGATAAGAGCTCTGATGAATTTGAAGTTACTTGTTCCTATATTGAAGTCTACAATGAGGTATAGAACAGGTTTTTACTAAGAAACCTATTTCCTTCCAAGTTCGCATAGTATGTTTGTTTAACTACATTTTTTTGAAATATACGTTATTGAATTTTCATTTTCTAATGTTTTTAGGTTATATATGATTTGCTCGAAAAATCATCAGGTTCTTTGGAACTTAGAGAGGATCCTGAGCAGGGAATAATTGTTGCTGGCCTAAGATGCATTAAGGTTCGGCTTCTTATCTATCAATTTTAAGCTTCTGGACTGAATATATTAAATCTTAGTGTTATTTATCAGGCAAAACATTGATTTCTGTCTTTACATTGGAGTGGTACATTATTTATCGAAGTTGGAGAAGAGATCCTACACAGTGCATGTGGTGGATTTTTCCCTCTCTTTTAAGAAATTTTAATCAGACGGTGTATTAAGTAATATTTTATGCTTAAGCTAGAAATTATATAACAAGATTACTTGACATATTTTATCTTCTTTTTCTAAATTATTGATGGAAAGAAATCTATTCTGTTCTGAAATTAAAGTATGACCTGTTTTGTTTCTTTAGTTAAATATAATAAACAGAGTCCAATATAAAGTATATAACCAATACAAGAAGCAATTATCAAGGTTGTAGTGTAAAATATTGTTAATCATTCTTTACTTCAGTAGCAAGATAATACAAACTTCCCGTGAGTGGTATACCAATATCTTCTATACTTCAAATGGTATGTGATTATTTCTCTATTGTGGGAGTGATTCAATATGGCTTTTCAAAGTTTGGTTTAGATTCGTGGCTTTTTAGAATGCATAACAATATGAATTTTCATGTCTGTTTTAGTTCTTATTAAGGGTACCCTTTTATGATTCACCCTAAAATGGGCTTGTACTAAGCATTAAAAGCAGGGTGTTAACTACCTCCGTTTCGAAATTCTTCCACTCAAAAGAGACAAGAGTCTCTTTTTTCACCAAGCATCCAGCAATCTTGGACCACAAGCAGTTTTATTGTTTTCTTTTTTTGGTGGATGAAATTCATATATTAGGATTTTTTTTTTCTACGTAAAATATTGGTGTTCCAACTTTTCATTCTTTTTCAGTCAAGGTCCTGGTTTATGGGTGAGTGTTGTGTCCTTGATGCTCTGTGGTCTATGTTGATTTCTCCTTCATCAGGTTCATTCAGCTGATAAGATTCTTGAACTTTTAAATTTGGGAAATAGTCGAAGAAAAACAGAAAGCACTGAGGCTAATGCGACATCGTCAAGGTGAGGAAGCATTAAAGTAGAATCTTACTCTTGTTACAATGTATTGCTCACCTTTGCATTGGGTTTTATCTAATGTTACTTCCATATTTGTTCCTACTTCTGATTTTGAATGTTTTATTTCTCTCAATTGCTGTATCCTTTTACATAATCTCATATAAAATTATCTTCAATCAACTAGATCACATGCAGTGCTGGAGATTACTGTGAGAAGAAAACAGAGAAACAAATATAAAAATCAAGTCATGCGAGGAAAACTTGCACTTGTGGATCTTGCTGGCAGTGAAAGAGCTTCTGAAACAAACAGTGGGGGGCAAAAGCTTCGGGATGGAGCTAACATTAATCGTTCACTTCTTGCTTTAGCAAACTGCATCAATGCTCTAGGGAAACAACAAAAGAAGGGTCTTGCCTATGTTCCATACCGTAATAGGTATATCTTAGTAGATATTGTAGTATGGAAGACTGAGCCCTCACTGATGCGGCTATTGGCAATTTGCAGTAAACTGACAAGGATACTTAAAGATGTCTGAGTGGTAACTCTCAGACAGTGATGGTTGCGACCATATCTCCAGCAGATAATCAGTATCATCACACTGTGAATACTCTGAAATATGCAGACAGGGCGAAAGAAATAAAGACTCACATCCAGGTGAGGCTGAATATTCCTTTTGGAAGACATTATTCATACTTCCCCAGAACGTAAGATTGGGTGGTTTCATGAGGGTTATTTCTGTTCCTTTTTTATGCATATGCCTGTGAGGCTGTGACTCCTTTTAAGAACAAATTCTGATAAGTTCATGTAACTCCTTTTCTGTGGTGTACTATGTATCATTTTTTAGCTTCAGTTTTCTTGCTGTATTTGTCTTTCTTTTCGCTCAGCTTTAGAGCAATAAAGTCTTTTATCGTGCTGTAATGCCACACTGTCTTTCTTTTCAGAAAAATATTGGCACAATCGATACACATGTATCTGATTATCAGCGAATGATTGACAATCTTCAGGTACGCTTTTGATGAATTTACATAGAAATTGTTAATTGCAACCTTATGTAGTGTGATACTTTGTTGGTTGTCTAGATTGAAGTTTGCCGATTGAAGAAAGAACTAGCAGAAAAAGAATCACAGTTGAGTGTCAAACCACCAGAAAAGGCTGCTGATGATGAATTGTCTTGGTTAAATGTTTTGAGCCAAGAAATAAGTGAAAATGTTCAGGAGCGTATAAACTTACAGAAGGCATTATTTGAACTTGAGGAAACAAATCTTCAAAACCGCACAGAACTTCAGCACCTTGATGATGCTATTGCAAAACAACCGGTTAGACTTACACATTTCCTTCTTTGATGTTTCTCTATCATGAAAAATGGCATTTTTCTCTTGTTCCATGACAGTTTTTTGAACTATGATACCTAGATGTAAGTGAACTACAGAATGTTTTGAGTTATTAGACTGGCAACCCATCCAATTATCAACTCACCTACTGATTACCGACCCAACACCTTTCAGCCTATCGGTTTCCTTTTCCCCCTAGCTGTCATGTGGTATGCAAGTGTGAGGCCGTGAATGGATTTACTTGTATCATTTTCTGAAATTTAGTTTTTCCATTATGTAACTAGGCTTCTGAAAAGGATGGTGCTATTTCTGAAGCTCTGAGAGTTAGGAGGCAAGATATTCTTGATAACATCCGTGACAATGACGAGGCCGGTGTTAATTACCAAAAGGTAAACTTTGCTTCTATAGAGGCTTATATGGTTACAATCTCTTTTTTTTTTTCATTATGTCGAATGATTAATCTTCTTATAGGAAATTGAAGCAAATGAAAAGCATCGTTTCCAACTCCAAGGTATGATTGAGGAAGCAATCAGTAACAATGGCAGTAAAACCTACTTGCGCATTCTCAGTCAATACAGACTCCTGGTGAGCGTACAGTGGATTTTCTTTACTTTTCGTACCTATTTTTTATCATCAACTTCAAGATGGTGAAACAGCTTATGCCGAAGTCTCACAGTTTTCTTTATATTGTTATGCAGGGGATGGCTAATACTGAGCTTCAGTTTGAAATGGCAATGAGAGATCAGATAATTCACAACCAAAGAGGCACAAAGGAACCTTTGGAACTTGATCATGGGGTTGGGACTCGACGAGAAGCAGATATTGGACCTCGCTGCCAAGCAGGGAATAACAATTGAAGATTGGACAATGACACGCTATCCAGGGATTTCAAACAGCAGGCAATCACACAATTTGGCTTCTGGAGGACACGCTTCTTTCAGTTATGGTCTTTCCATCAACCAATGGCATTCAAGATCATCTTGCATCTACCAGAAGTATCAACATGTTGGTTCAAAATCATTTTCCCAAGACCGCTGGGATTTGTCTCCTACGTTTTGCAGGGAGGAGCACCATAGCTCCTACTACTTACTAGCTCATGATAACTCTCCTCCGTGTGCCAGATTTAGGAATAGTAGTGATAACTGGGTTGGCGCTTGTCATCCTGTCCCTTGGTTTGGCTCCCCTGATAAGCTTCCTCGAGATTTGCAGAAATCATACCCAGAGATGATAACTCCTGCATCATCACGCCATCTATCAGCTCCAGCAGTCGGTGCAGATTTTGGACAGGGACAAAAGGTAGGATTTAGTCGTTGGTCCTTCTTCAATTATATTTTGATGTACTTTTCGGCGTAAAATTATATACATATAGACCGGTCATTTTATTCTTATAGCATATTATCTTTTACACAGGACGTTATGAGGCAAAACCTATACAACAAGGGTCCTCATGGTGCAATCAGTAGCAGCAGCCCAGATATGTTGAAAGGAGAGATAGTGAATCATGGACTGACATCCAATGGTTTATCGGGATTTATGCGTTCCGAACAAGGCTTGAGTACACACAGCTCAAGACATACGGTCCGAAACTCCAACCATGCAAGCGTTCCCTGCATTCCTTCATAAACTTAAGCTCATCCCTCCATTTCTGTAAAGTTTTCTTTCAATTTTTAATTGTTTTGTTTTCTTTTCTCCAGTGTTGATGTATGTACATGAATTAGGATGAATTGGTAGCTGAATTCTGTGGAGAGAGGAGGGCTTATAAACCCACGCCGCGGAATGTAGTTAGTTCTTTTGGTATAACCACCGGTATTAACCGACTAATCTGAATCGGAACGCTGTTAGTATTGTATCATAGTAAAACACACACATACTTTCAATTTAATTACTCAAATCCAAGTTTGTGTTAATATTACCTACTTGTTTAAGTCCCCTACTTTACCTTTTAGACTTCTACTTTTCGAATTTACAATTTAAGCCCAAATTTTAACCACACCAATGCCTAAAACGATTTCAATGTTACTCTTAATTGCCTATGTCGTAAAAGCCGTTAAAAACTATTATTTGACTGCATTACGTCTATAAATTTTTAAAAAGTTAATTTTTTTAAAAAAAACTTAAATTTATATATGTATGTATTTAAAATAAACCTAAAATTTCTTTAAAATCACAAAATACCCCAAACCTAAAATTATATAAGCGTTGTTGGACATTGTTTTGAATCAAATAGGAAATGGAGAAGAAGGCATGAGTAAGAAGATTTGAAGGGAAAGTTGCAATCGTGTCTGTTTCAACTCAAGGCATCGATTTCGCTATCGTCACCTCTTCTCGCAAGAAGGTATATAGCTATAACAATCAGAATCTATTACGTGTTCATTCATTAATCACTAACAAAACATTCCCAATATACTCATATCTAATGCAACTTATTATGTTTTTGAGTTGCATTTACATGAAAACATGGACGAGACAGTTTGAAAACTTATAGTTTAGACCAGGGACGAACTCAAAAATTTATGTTAGGGGGTTCGAATATAAGAAATTATATTACAAATGTCAGGGGTGCAAAATTACAAAATGTCGGAGGATGCGGAATTAGATAATCAATAGAAAATACAAAATAAAAATTACATAAGATATAAGAAAGTTTAAAATTTCTAGGGGGTGCAACTGCACCCCAACACCCCCTCGATTAATCCCTAGTTTAGACCATACCAAGATATAAAAAATGATTTACGTTTAACCAGAATTCGTTTTGAAAAAGGGTTCGGGAGTCGATTACGTGTAGGGAATGATTAGCACCCCACAATGCCCGAAATCGGTACCTAGGCGATTATACGTCATCTGAATATTGAAATTCACAAATTTAAATGTATATTTAAATTATGGTCCTATTTAAAAAAGAAAAATAAAATATAAGAGGTATTATTTTATACGAACAATCCTCAAATATAGTTTCTTTGTCAGTTAAGGGGGCATTTTCATGGATTCCCCATACAAAATAATATTGCCCTAATTTTAATAAATTATATATATATAAACTTGAATATAAAAAGGTGTTACTTTATATGGACAATCATTGGGAACATGATCCTCGTCAGTTAAGGCATGTTTCTATGAATTCCCTATACAAAGTAACATTTCTTTAGCTTTTATATAAAATACATGTATTAAATATATTTAACAAAACAAATCATTCAAATATAAAAGATATTTTGAAGTATCATAACCAAAGATTCGAAGGACCAAACGACAATACCAATAACCAACAAGAACCATAATCAAATATACTAAACAATGCAAGTACCGGAAATAAAATAAGCCATAAATAATATTAAAGACTAAAACGAAAAGAAGGCTAATATAGGATCCAAAACATAAATCTCAAATTCATATATTAGTACATATAAAGGACCAAAACAAAAATCATGTAAAATTAACAAACCAAAGTATAAACATCTAAGCAAACATAATAACAAAATTACAGGGACTAAAATAAATATGAAGCAAACGAAGTGCTCAAAATAGAAAAATGAAACTTTCATTAAATGACTAAAGGACGAAATTAAAAAGCCCAAGGGACGTAAGATGCGATTAACCCACATACGAAAAAATGATCCTCAATCCCTTCCCAAACGATGCCGTTTAAGGTAGGGTATAAATACACAAAAAATCGACCTAAATGGCCCCCAAACCTCATTTTCTCATTTTTTTTCTTTTCTCGAAAGAGAGAAAATTTTCCCTCTATCTTCTCTCTTCTTTTACCCGTCGAGGGAGGCCAACAGCCACCGTTCGTTGGAGCTCTTCCCTGTCGCACACGGCGGTCGGGGCTCCAAAGAAAATGCCAAAACGATGCTCTCCACTCTCTAAACCCGAAAATGAGCCTCACTCCCTTTAAAACTATCCCTACCGTCCTAGATCTAAAAGAAACGAACGGGTTACCTTCGATTTTCAAAGACTCATCATCTCTCTCTGGTGACGAGAAGTACGATTTCCGTGGTAAGTTTCTCTTTTTTTTTTTGCTTTCGAAAGTCTTGGGTTTTTTTTGGGTAAGTTCTTCTTTTTTTAGACCAAACCTTTCATTCATTTCCCTTTCTGTTTTTTTATATTCCTCATTTGCATGTTGATTTGGGATCGATTTGATGGTAGTAGATCTCTGATTTTTTATGGGTAAAATCCCAATTGTTTTGGGATTTTTTTAATTTTTTGAATGGGTTTAAGACTTAAGTTAGATATCTGACTGATTTGGGTGTATCTTGTCACTATTCGGTACAGATTGTTAACAACGGGGATGTGGGAGTCCTTTGGAGGTGGTTCATGCGGTGGGGATTTGAAGAGTTGGGTGTGTGCATCTCACGCACGGTAGATCGGACGGTCCACATTCGCTGATGGCGGCAGTTGGATCTTTGTCAAGGGTTAAAAACCTAAATGGTAAACAATCTGGATAATCAAATCACTCCCAGATTTGACGGTGGAGAGCTGTGCAGCGCTAGGACAATAAAAGGAATACCTAGCTGTTGGGTTGTCCATATGGGCCTGCAGTTAGTTAGGGCCTTTTTTGGGCCCACTGGGTAACTTGGGGCTTGTTGTGGGCTTTGGGTTTGGGGCTTGTTATGGCCTTCGGGTTTGGGTTGGTCGGCCCCTTTGTAAATGTATCCAATTTGGGTTTGTAAGGGTCTGAAAAAATAAATAATAATATTAAAATAATAATGATATTAATAATATTAATACATAATAATAATAGTAATAATAAAAAAAAGTCTTCGGACAAAAACGACTGTCGACAGCTGCCCCTCTTTGCCTATTCTTGTGTTAACAAGAATAGGGCAAAGACGAAGAGACAATGAGTTTTCGTCTAGTTGACTTCATGCTTTGAAGTCTGATGAGAGATCTGCTCCACTATTTATCCAGGGTAGATCAGATCAAGAAATGTTGACTCATTCCACAGTTCTTTAGGGAATACTGAATCGAGGTAGACTTGTTCCACTGTCACTCAAGGAATATCAAATCTTGAAAGAGATGGACTTGTTCCGCTTCTTCTTGAGGGAAAATTAGATCTGGGGATATTGATTAATTCAACCGTTCCTTAGGGAAGATTGAATCGAGGCAGACTTGTTCCACTATTACTCAGGGAATATCAAATCTTGAAAGAGATTGATTTGTTCCGCTTCTTCTTTAGAGAAAATAAGATTGGGGATTTTGATTCATTCAACTATTTTTCAGGGAAGATTGAATCGAGGCAGACTTGTTCCACTGCTACTCAGGGAGTATCAAATCTTGATAGAGATGGACCTGTTCCGCTTCTTCTTGAGGGAAAATTAGATATGGGATGTTTATTCATTCCTCTGTTCTTCAGGGAAGACTGAATCGAAGCAGACTTGTTCCACTGTTACTTAGGGAATATCAAATCTTCAAAGAGATGGATCTGTTCCACTTCTTCTTGAGGGAATATCAGATATGGGGACGTTGATTCATTTCACTGTTCATCAAGGAAGATTGAATTGAGTTCGATTTGTTTCTCTTGTCTTTAAGCATATCAAATCTGAAAGTTAAACATTAACCCTTGTTAGTATGTGTTTGAGAATTCGAAAACATCATACCTGAAAGTTTTGGGAGGATAATCTTTGGAAATTGATTTTCTTGTGGAAACTTGTCTCGCAACCACATAACATGAAAAATCTAAATTGGTTACTTTTATGTTGGGTCCTTACATCTCCATCATTTTCTTTCGAAGAACATGTAAGTACTCAATTGAAATTATCATTAACATGCATTTTATGTCTTGATCCTATTTATGCCTAAAATGTGTGCAGTGATGTCCAGACTGACAACCCTGGTTGGACACTTTTTGGTTGAACGTGACTCTGATTCTCTTTACTCTTGAACCCAAACGCTATTCACGACCAGTTACTTGATCAGTGACAAACCTCCTGGATTATCCCACCTTCCTGAGCTTATATGTGTAGCCCTAAGGCTTTTATCCTTCTGTACCACAACATCATGTAATCCTCATGCTAAAGTCATTTTCAGCTTCAAAATACCTGAACTTTTTCAAAACCTTTTGTACAATAATGCACGATGATCTCATGTTTTTCGAGTTAATCTAAATTTTTTTATTTTCAATTAGGTTGCTTGCAACATGATTTTAACAAGGAAAATACCTCCATTTATTTATATAAATAAAGAGTTTTTGGGTAAATACATGGTAAACTTTTAACTAGAATAATAAAAAAAAAATACAGTAAGGCGTCCTCAGATGTCAATAGTACGAATGTTTTTGAACTGGCACGCCGCAGAACGACACGAGTGTAGCTTCTGTAAAAAGGATCTTGAGGATGGTGACAATGCGCAAGGGTGTGAAGTTCCCATATACTATCAAATCCCTAAATGTTGGATGCTATAAACCAATGTTTGAATCTCATGCATTCTTCATTTCTTTTATGGTTATCCAAGCCTTTTTGATTTCTAGTTCTAACCCTGGCTATCATTTGATATCACTGTTCAAGTCTTCAAAACTAACTCAGAACCTCCACCATGCATGAATTTTGAATTTGAAATAATTCTCAAGCAACCCTTTGCGAGTTTTCAACTTGAGACCTCATTTGGTTTCAAGACACCCTTTTTGGGTTTTCATCTTGAACCCCTTTTTTATTTTTTATTCTTTTTTTTCTCTTTTTCATTTTCTTTCTTTCTTTCTTTATTTTATTTTATTTTTTTTCATTTTTCTTTCTTTCTTTTCTTTAGGCAAAGTACTTCTTGACAGCGTCAGAATTCACAGGGTTAGGTAATTCTGACCCATCCATTTTGGTAAAGATCAAAGCTCCTCCGAAAAAGGCCTTCTTTACAACATAAGG